AGGAAAATGTGCAATGACATTATTTAAGACTGATTATCTAACTTAGAGCAGGCTGTAACAGTCTTCTCTGGATGTTTTGGTCCAGTGTTGCCTTGGCCTTAGCAGCTGTTCCAGCTCAGGTCACTTAAGGCTTGTACCGTCTCTCCAAAGGTAGCTCTGGCTTTTGAAAATGGCATGATTGCATAATCACGCATCCACGCTGTGAGAAAGTTGCAGCCGCAGTCACTCGCTGACCTCCAAAAAGAACAACACGAAGATATTTGTTTTATTCATATGCTGCCTTTTACATCCACGCAGAAATTAATTTGTGAGGCAGATTTGGAGGCATAAACGTTATTGAAATGTTAAATGTTGTCTTTTAGACGGAGAAGAACAGGAGTCAGCAGTGCAGCAGAGAAAGGCTCATCCATCCTCGTTCCTGTTGCTCCTTCTTGCTTATGTAAAGCCTCTCGGTGGAGAAAACACTGGATATTTCATAATTGATACTGTAGAAGCGCACGCATTACCCAGTGACTCCAGGCGCACATTTAAATATGCATATCTCAGTCGAACAGGAATACTGCGTGCACTTTACAGCACCGCAGTGCTACAGAGCTCAGCAGTGCTAAAATTACTGCACTTTTAAAGGAATATTTGGGCTGAAAAGTGCTGACACGGCTAACGGTGAATGAAAATGAGCAGCCGCTAATTAACATGTTCTCATTTGCATAATGTTCATGTTGATTGCTGGGTTCAAGCTTCCATCCATTATTAAGAAATTAACATCAGTGTGGATTATAATTGAGAATTATACAAAATGTATTTTTTATATATATATATATATATATATATATATTATATATATATATATATACATAATGGCTAGGAGTTAGGAGTGACCTTTCAAACAGAAATTATGGCCTCATCTGACTCTTCTTCTGCACCATGTCAAATTATGCATATATTGAAGATCTACCCATCTGTAGCTTCACATCATATATCAGCCACTCTCAGATCACTCTGTCCAAGGGATCACTGTGTATACATACTGGTCACTTTATCAGAATCCCTTTCCTTTAAGCTCCACCTGGAGTTCGTTAATGCCCATTTATTGATGCACAGTTTTTGTTAGCCAGCCTCAACCCTTCAACAGTGACTTTCATTCAATATATATCATAATGTTCTTTCCAGATATATCACAAAGTTTACTGTATATCAATGTTCATTCCAAATATATTAATGTTCATAAAGTACTTCCTGTTTTGCATGCCATACTATATATATAAATATATATGTATAATATAATATGTTACATTATATTTAGGAATTTTTTCTGTTTTAGAATATTAGAAACTGCTGTGTCTGATCCACCACCCAAATAATACCTGCTCTGTGGGGGTCCTCTGGGGGTCCTGACCATTAAAGAACAGGGTAACAAAGTAACAGATCGACTACAGTCTGTAACTGTAGAACTCCTGTAGTGCTCCTATATGGTCAGTGGAACTGATGAAATAGACAGTGAGTTATTAGCTACAAGGGGGTGGTTTTAATGTTATGGCTGATCGGTGTATATTGCACTGTATTCATTTGGAATATATTCAATTTTTTATATAAAATATTAAACAGGACAGTGTTATATAACATGTCACTGCACACCTGTAGAGCCAAAGCTAGTTCTGCGTCACCCTCTGTTTCTGGTGAAGGTGAGTGAAAGAGAGAGAGAGATGCTTTTCTGCGGGTTTCTTCAGCAGCTGCGCTGGTCACACTGACCGCAGCGGCCCGGAGCGTGTCATCCTCATCATCATTATCCCAGAGGAGATTGCTCTTTCAGGGATACTCTGATGGAAACTACTTTCAGGACAGAATTGGACATGGTTTTAGCGGAATGAACGCTGCTCCTGGGTTTGCGCACGACACCTGTCACACAGCATCTCCTCTGCCCTCATCCTCGTGCCACTGCCTCTTGGCCCCCCCATCCCAGGTAGATGTGCCTTCTCGCTGATGGTTGCCGTGCCAACAGCCCGTGTTCATGTTTCTTTACTGGTTTTCCCCCTAAGGAGAAACCCACAACAGCCAGACGTCCATCACCCCCCTCTGGCAGCTACATGTTACTGCAGCTGAAGTGGAATCACAGCTGCACACTCGCCTTGCATTCAGTGAGGGTGTTTACACTGGGTGTCCAGTTTATCGGAAACACCTTGTACAGCCATATGCAAAAGTTCAAATACTCACAGTCAACCTGCATGATCTAAGTGAATATACACTACATGGCCAAAAGTTTGTGGACACCTGTCTATGCAGTGTTTGTCCCCCTTTGCTTCAGTAGCAGCCTATACTCTTCTAGGAAGGCTTTATACTAGATGTTGGAACATTGCTGTGTGGATTTGATTGAGCATTAGTGAGGTCAGGTACTGATGTTGGATGGTCAGTTCTGGATCACTCCAACTCATCCCAAAGGTATAGGATGAAGCTCCATCACTCCAGAGAACGCAGTTCCACCGCTCCACAGCCCAATGCTGGGGGGGGGGGCTTTATACCCCTCTAGCCCAAGCTGGACACTGGGGATGGTGACCTTAGGCTCATGCAGCTGCTCCAGTGTCCAATTCTATTAGTCAGTGCTTTTCTATGGAGATTATACAAGCTGTGTGTGTATTTGAACTCCTGTGTCAGCAGTTGTTGCACCTTAATGTAGCTAAATTTACTAATAAGGAGAACACACTTAAATGGTCAGGGCCTGCCGGTGGGCCCAAAGTTTTATTACACACTTCTATAACCTAAGAACAGCTCAGCCAGTTTGCATTGAAGTCCCTGTAGTTACTGAATAATAAGCCTTAGTATGTAATAAGCCTGAAATTTTAATTAATATAAAAATATGGCAAAACTTTTGCACAGGCCACACTCTTTGTTTTATTTGTTCGCCAATTTATGCTGTAGAGTTTGTTCTCTGTAGAGGATGTGTGCTTACAGTCATATGCAAAGGTTTGTGCACCCCTGGCCAGGTTCCATATTTTGTTGATTTTCCTTCCTCAATTAATAAAACATGTAATTTGACTGGGGGTGTTTATACTTTAGCATACAACTGTGTCTACATTCCCGGCAATGGCAGGGGGGTGGGGGGTGGTGTGTGTGTGTGTGTGTGTGGGGGATCAGACGTTTTCCAACTGTTAAATGCCATCTCACTATTGTATTTTCCCAAGCTTGGTGCTTGGATTGGGAGAACATTGCCCCCTCTAGCTTTAGCTTTATGGGGGCAGATGGTCCAAAGTCCCTCAGAAGTTGGCACTTATGCATACAGATGGACTTTTGGGTTTACATTTACAGGCTGTAGCTCATCTGCTCCTTCACAGTTTATCAGCCCCCCTCCTACCCCATTCATTCAAAGGGACCACCATAGGACTACCGCTGACCAGATATCATTTCTCAGCACAGCGGTGACACTGATATGGTACACACTTTAATTTAATAAACTGTGGTTCTTCAAGGGTTCTTTAGTAAAGAAAATGGTTCTATATAGAACCCTTTGCATGATTGAAGGGTTCTTTGCATCATGAAAAGAGGTCTTCAGAATCTTTGAAAAGGGTTATATATAGCACCAAAAAAAAGGTCGTTACAATGTCAAGCTTGTAATAGTAAAAGAACCCTTTTTGGTGCTATGTAGAACCCTTTTTGGAAAGGTTATATAAGTGCTACATACAACCATATACAGCACATTCTCCATCAATCTGAAGAACCATGTTCACGATGCAGAGAACCTTTCAATCGAGCAAGGAATTTTTTGAGTGTTCATGGTTCTATATAGAACCATTTTCTTTATTAAAGAACCCTTGAAGAACCATCTTTTTTAAGAGTGTAGTGTTCAGTGAACAGGGGTATTACCAAATGGAAACTGCTTAAGTAATTGTACTTCATTACTTTAATTAAGTATTATTTTGGAAGATCTGTGCTTTACTCCTGTAGTATTGAAATATAATACTTATTTATGTTTCCAGGAGAACAAATTTACCTTATGTTTACGTTTAGAATTTCAGAGTACTGAATCTCAAAGGTCGGGAGATTCAGTCGAGTTCCCACACATTTTATTTGTATTAAAACATCTGAATTTATACCAAATTAATACTGAATGTAACGTTAATGTACATTTTATATTTACATATTTACATGCTTGTGTATGTTTAAGTATTGATACTCTTATTTTCACTCAAGTTTATTTTTGGCTCTGTATGTCCACTTTTAATTAAGATTTTGATGAACAGTCAGGAATGGGTTACTGATTATTGTGCTGAATGTTTTTTTTGTCCCATTTCATTATTATCTTATCCTTTGTACTTTTTTATTGTTACTGTATTATTTTTAGAAGTATTTATTTGTAGAAACTGCTTTTAATTTAATTTTTCTTCCTTTTCTTAGTGTTTTTACATTTTTCTATTTTCTGCTTCTCTTATCTTGGTTTTTATTTGCCTATGTCATTGTAAAGCAGTTTGAGCTGCATATTGATCTATTAAAGTGGCTATATAAATAAAGCTTATTATTAATATAACTCTTGTTATTAGCACCCATATGCATAAGACTACTCATATCAAATTACCAAAATAATATAGTGTAATGGTACTGACAACTAACTGAAATAACAAATGTAAAAAATGTAAAAATGTGAAAACACTGTAATTAAGTTTAATTTGTTGGTGTACAGTTAGAGACTGTAGCTCATCTGTAGATGCCCATTTTAACTGTCTTCTAAGCCTTCATCATCTGTCCGTTTCAGAGGTCAGAGGATATTTTTGGTTGGTTGGCTAATTCTTGTGCCAGCAGTGACACTGTCTGTGTAAAAACCCCAGCAGTGTGTCTGAAAATGATCTCCCCTCCACAAAACAGCCCAATTCTCTCTTATTTCTGAGGTTGTCAGTTTCTCTGTTGTATTTTTGTATCAGAGCTGTTGTCTACAAGTATGGACAAACATACTGAACAAATGTGTGAGTGGATGGTGTTGCCCTGTTCTGACCGTCTCTCTGTTTTTCCTTCAGGGCGGTTGGGAATAAACCCAGCAGCAGCCCCAAAGGCCAGACTCCAGACGAGAGCCGCCGGACAGACGCCAACTCCTCTGTGTCCGACCTGGCCAATTCCGTCACCAGCGACATGCTGATGGTATGAGGATGAAGTGTGTGTGGCTGGGTGTGTGTGTGTGTGTGTTTGTGTGAGTTTGTGTGTTTGTGTGTGTTCGTGATTTCTAGTAAAATAAATGAAAAATAAGACTATATAATACACATGGGTCGTATTATTATTACATATAGACAATTGCATATGTATAAACTACATATAGGACATATTTCATATGAATACATGCAAACATACAAAATGTATATGGAACAATAATAAATTTTACGTCTATGTAGAATACATATGGAACATATTTTATTACATACAAACACTTACATTTATATAATGCATATGGTACATATTATTACATATACATATTTAAATGTATAATATACTGTATATGGGTAATTCTATTATTGCATATAAGTACTTTCATGTGCACATTAATATTTAAATATATAATGCATAGAAGTCATATTATTATTACATCTAGATACTTACATATGATACATTTGGGACATTTTATAACGTAGATAATATAATGTAGATACTATAATATATAGTACATGTGGGTCAAATCATTGTTACACATAGATACTTACATATATGATACTTAACAGACATTATTATTACAAATACTGTTGTACTAACAGTAGTAATATATATGTATATACGTATATGTGTATATATGCATATGTAGTAATAATACATATGGGATATACTATCCCCCCTAAAAGGATGTCTCGTTAAGGTTTCTTTACTAAAGACAGTGGTTTTGTATAGAACCATGAACACTCAAGGAATCATTTGCATGATTAAAGGGATCTTTGCATCATGAAAGCGTTCTTCAGATTGATGGAAAATGTGCATGAATGTGCTATAGATGGTTCTATATAGAACCTTTTTGAAAATGGTTCTATAAAGCACAAAGAAAGGCTTCTCCTATTGTGACAAGCTTGACACTGTTACAATAGAAGAACAATTTTGGGTGCTATATTGGGTTCTTTATAGAACCATCTACAGCATATTTATACCAGATGTTGGAACATTGCTGTATGGATTTGATTGAGCATTAGTGAGGTCAGGTACTGATGTTGGATGGTCAATTCTAGATCACTTCAGATTAATGAACATGTGCTGTAGATATACATAATATATCTAGTAGATATATGAAATATATATATATATATATATATATATATATAATATATATATATATATATATATATCACTGTTGTTAGAAGAAAACCTCGTATCTCCATTTTTTACATTTTTCAGTTTTTGAGATAATTTGAAAATACCTGTTACTCTTTACATTGTATGTAAATTTCATGATGAATGGACTAAAAGGAATGGCCCAAAATGACCTAGAAAAAAGTCTGGTTCCATTGACTTACATTAAAAGTAAAGTAGATTTTTTAATTCTCCTGTAAAGTTAGCATTTTGGAGATACGGTTTTCTTTAGACAACAGCGATACATAATTTTATAAAGAACCTTTTTCAAAAAGGGTTCTATTCTGTACCCAAAAGGGTTCTTTTATAGTTATGAATTCAAGCTTGTAACAAGAGAAGACCCCATTTGGGTGCTACATAGAACCCTTTTCAAAAAGGTTCTATATACTGTAGAATTATATCCATCAATCTGAAGACCAATTTCACTATGCAAAGAACCCTTTAACCATGCTCTTGTGTGTTCTTTGAGTGTTTATGGTTCTATATAGAACCACTGTCTTTACTAAAGAACCCTTGAAGAACTCTTTTTAAGAGTGTATTATTACATATAGATACATACATATCACTGCTGCGATATGTAAGTACCTCCATTTTTGTCATTTGTTGTTCAGTTTTGGACATAATTTAAAAATGCCTGTTGGCCTTTACATTGTGTGTCAATTTCATGATGAATGGACCAAAAGAAGCGGCCCAAAATGACTCACATCTGACTTCCATTAAAAGTAAAGTATGATTTTCCTTCTCATGTAAAGGTCTCATTTTGGAGATACAAGGTTGTGTTCCGACAGCAGCGATATATAAAATAAATAAGGGACAGATATATGACCACACATTCTGTCAAGGTGTAGAAACAAACATCTGTGCATGCATGTGTGTGTCTCTGTTTTTGTGTAACTGTTTTCTCTGCTTTATCCAGTTTGTCCATCCTTGTTTTCCTATTCTCCTCATCCTCCACTCTCCAGTTCAGCATTGTTTTGAGAGGGCATTAACTTTTAACCACGCAGTGCAGTAAATACGGGGTGTGTGTGGCGCTCTCCCCCACTCCAGTCACTCACACACACAGAGCCGTGTCAAAAAGAGCTGCTTTCAGTGAGAGAACGGTAATTAGAGCTGGAGCGCAGTGCTGTGGGGGACTGCCTGTCATTATGTGGGTGGCAGGGCCTCTTTTTTTAAAAAAAAAAAGCAGCCTCTGATGATGCCTAATGATGGTGCTTCCACTTTGAGAGGGTGCCAGAGGGCTGTAAAGCTGAGACCTTGAGCTTCTTTCAGACCTGAAGCCAGAGACTCAGATCAAGGCAGGGCTTTGGTGAACTTAGTAAATTTGACCTGTCATTTGGTCTGCACACAGAGCACTGCCAAAGAATATGAGTGAAGACAGGTGATGTGAAGGTGATAATAGGCTTTAACTGGACATCATTGGTTACATCTCCATCCATTTGCTTGACTCCCCTAAAACAACAACAGCTTAGGCCAGGGCTCAGCGAAATGCAGCACCAGAGCCGCATGTGGTTCTTTTACTACCCTGTTGTGGCTCCACAGCAGAATTAGATGTTTAGGTAAAAATGAAATAATCCTCCTTTGCAGTAAAATAAAGCTCTGCTGATCATTCAACACAGTTTTAACCATAAATGATCTTAAATGCTGGAGTAAATGTATATCTGCTAATTCACCCTTTAACCCTGAAGGTTGGTATACAGAATACTGGTCACCATAGCAACACATACAACAATTCCGTCTAGCTAGTAGCTAACAAAAAAGAGAGAAGAGAACGAGAAAGATTTAAGACGAAAATCGACAATTTGGAGACGAATGGACTTATTTGCATTTATAATCACTCCAGCTGGTTTCCTGATACGTTTAATCTGCAACGAGAAACTGTCACTAAAAAGTTGTGAGGATAAAGTCAGTTTGTCATTGTCCCAGTCCACCTTAAATAGTGCGGCAGTTACATTATGGCGCCTCAAAAACAAGAAGACTTCAGCCTCATAAACAGTCAAACACAAGTCAAAGACATTTTACAAGAAACTGTTCTACTTTTGGGAAAGTTTCCTGCTGGAGATGTGAGAAAGTGGAGTTTGCATGTTCTCCCTGGGTCTGCGTGGGTTTCCCGGGTACTCCGGTTTCCTCCCACAGTCCAAGGACATGCAGTCAGGCTGATTTGACACGCTAGATTGCCCCTAGGTGTGAGTGTGATTCTGTGTGTCGATGTGTGTGCCTGTCTGTCTGCCCTGCGATGGACTGGCGGCCTGTACGGATTGTTTCAGCTTTCCACCCGATGGTAGCTGGGAGGGTCTCCAGCACCCCCGCGACTCAGAAGGATGAGTAGTTTAGATGATGTGTGTGTGTGTGTGTGTGTGTGTGTGTGTGTGTGGTATATTAGCATATACTGAGACATATTTACAGCTAAGATGTTAAAATGGACATGAAATATTGTGGCTCCCAAGGTGGTTTGATTTTTGTTGAAAGGACAAAATAGCTCTTCCTAACATTTGGGTTGCCGACCCCTGGCTTAGACCTTCTGTAGGTTTAGCCTATATGCTCCTTTATTTATAACCCCATTTCCAAAAAAGTTGGGATGCTGTAAAAAAGTAAATAAAAACAAAATGCAATGATGTGCAAATAATTTAAACCCTATATATCATGGAAAATGCTTCAAAGACAACATATCAAATGTTGAAACTGAGAAATGTTGTAGTTTTTTGAGAAATAAATGTCCATTTTGAATTTGATGCCAGCAACATATTCGAAAAAAGTTGGGACGGGGGGCAACAAAAGGCTAAACTGGAGGTTAATTGGAAACAGGTGAGTAACATTACTGGGTATAAAAAAAGCATCTCAGAGAGGCTGAGTCTTTCAGAAGTAAAGATGAAGAGAAGTTCACCACTCTGTGAAAGACTGCATGATCAAATAGTGCAACAATTCAAGAATAACGTTTCTCAACATAAAATAGCAAAGACGTTTTGCTGTTCAGCATCTATGGTACATAATAACATTAAAAATTTCAGAGAACCTGGAGAAATCTCTGTATGCAAGGGACAAGGCCAAAAAACAGTATTTGCTGGCCATAATCTTTGTGCCCTCAGGCGGCACTGCTTTAAAAACAGACTTGATTCTGTAGTGGAAATCACTTCTGAAAAACACTGTCTATGAAAACAGTTCAGCATTGCATCCAGAAATGCAAGTTAAAACTCTAAAACGCAAAGACGAAACCATATATAAACAGGATCCAGAAACGCTGGATAATTCGCTTCTCTGTGCCTGAGCTCATTTAAAATGAACTGAGGGGAAGTGGAAAAGTGTCCTGTGATCTGATGAATCAACATTTGAATTTCTTTTTGAAAAACATGGACATTGTGTCCTCCGGGCTAAAGACCACTCAGCTTATTATCAGTGCACAGTTCGAAAGCCAGTATTCATGATGGTATAAGGGTGCATTAGTGCACATGGCATGGGCGATGTGCACATCTGTGAAGGCACCATTAATGCCAAAGGCCTTGCTTATTTCAGCAAGACAATGCCAAACCACATTCTGCATGTATTATAACAGCATTACTCCGTATTAAAAGAGGTGCAAAACTGGCCTGCCTGCAGTCCAGACCTGTTATCACTGAAAACATTTGGAGGGTTATGAAATGAAAAATATGACAAAAGAGACCCTGAACTGATGAGTAGCTGAAATCCTATGTTCACTTTCAAAACTACAGCAGTCGGTCTCCTCAGTTCCCAAACACTTACAGTGTTGTTAAAACAAGAAGTGATCAAAACACAGTGGTAAACATGCCCCTGTCTCAACTATTTTGGAACATGTTGTTGGGATCAAATATAAAATTTCAAATTTCAAAAAACAATACAAAATTCTCATTTTCAACATTTGATTTGTTGCCTTTGTACTATTTTCAATTAAATATAGGGTTTAAATGATTTGTTTTTATTTAAATTTTGTACAGCGTCCCAACTTTTTTGGAAATGGGGTTGTATTATTTATGTTAAAAATGTTGAATAACATTGAGCTACACAACATCTATAGTTAACAAAGCTACTGGTCCTGTTTAGGGAATATGAGTGCCAACACATGTTCATTTGTGAGATCCTGCTGGTGTGGGTTAAGCCTGTTTTCACTCTATCAATGATGCACATGAAAGCTATGTGAGTGTTAATCGTTCCCCCTTGTGGAGTAACATTGGTCTGCTAAACATAAGCAAGTGAGTGTTTGGCAAGCTGTCTATCTATAGTTCTATTTCCTAAACATGTGTTTATCGATATTATTGTCTTTTACATCAGGTTACTTGTCATTTGCCTACTACTGCAGCTGTCATATGTAAATATGTTTACAGTTGTGGTATAATATTTTTATTGTTTCCATGTGTGAACTGTAGGGAGTGGAGAGTGAACAATGTGTTTTACATACTATATGAAACACATTTTTTATTGTTTTTCTATTTTATGGGCCCTTAATTCTTGCTCTCTCTCTCTCTCTCTCTCTCTCTCTCTCTCTCTCTCTCTCTCTCTCAGCTATCTCCTGGTTCTGAAGAGGAGGAGCATGAAGGCCAGATATGTGAGAAGCTTGGGCGTATCCAGTTCAGCGTGGGCTACAGCTTCCAGGACTCCACCCTCACCGTGAAAATCCTCAAAGGTCAGGACCTTCCGGCCAAAGATTTCTCCGGAACCTCAGATCCTTTCGTCAAAATCTACCTATTACCAGACAAGAAGCACAAACTAGAGACCAAGGTCAAACGGAAGAACCTCAACCCTCACTGGAATGAAACCTTCTTGTTTGAAGGTGAGGCGAAAATATCAGATACACTACATTAATTACTCACACCATTTTGTTAGGAACACCTTATCTTATATCTTAATAGAACCATCTTATAGGCTTGAATTAGAGGGCGTTGCCCCTCCAGCTTCAGTTCTGGGGGGAACAAATGACCCAAAGCCCCCCAGAGGTTGGCACTTATGCATACAGATGCATTTAGTAGGTTTGCAGTTACAGACTGAAGCCCATCTGTTTCTGCACAGTTTATCAGCTCCCCTCTGCTTCATTCATCAGTGGTCAGTTTCTGACCACATGACCGCTGTTGTCCAGATATTATTTGAGTGGTGGTCCATTTTCATACTCCAACATCAAAACTCCCATTACATTTGGTGTAAAGCTAACGTAGCATTCCACAATTAGAACAACGTACCAGCAATGAAGCATGGTGGTGGTAGTAGGATGATGCTCTGCTGCTTCAGGGCCTGGATGACTTGCCATAATTGACGGAACCACAAATTTTGTAATATTAATCTGAAGCTCGAGTGTAATTGGGTTGCTGAAAAACAACAATGCAAAGCACAAGAGCAAGTTCACCACTGAACAAAATAAAGGTTTTGGAATGGCCTAGTCGAAGTCTCGACTTGAACCCCATTAAGATGCTGTGGCAGGACCTTAAACTTACAGTTCACACTCGAAAGCCCTCTAGTGTGGCTAAATTAAAGCAATTCTGCAAAGAAGAGTGGGCCACAATTCCTCCATAGTGATGTGAAAGACTGATCTCCAGTTATAGGAAGTGTTTGGTTCTAGTTGTTGCTGCTAAAGGTGGTACAAGCAGTTATTAAAGGGGAACTCCACCGATTTTGCAAAATTACCTAATCATTCAGTGGTTTAGATGTGAACAAAATTATTCAGAGTGGTTCGGTGTGAACATGTCAACATGGCTAATGCCAGCAGCAGCTTTTGTTTACAGTTTATTTTTACAGTAATTTTTGGAAGATGACAGCATATGTGAAGAAATTTAAGGAGGTCTGTTTCAAAAATGTCATAGAGCCATAAGAATTTGAACCAGAATACACAAAGGAGTTGCAGGGGTTCAAAGAAGACAGAGCCAAAAGGGAGAGACAGAGATAGACTGAGCCCGCTTGTAATGGTGGTGCACTATGTTTTACATACTATTTAGTGTGGTAGTATGTGGTTTGGAACATGGCCGGGCCCTTCTCTAAACTGCATGCAGGGCAGAGAGGTACATGCACGGCATTGTAATGAAAAAAATAGTACCGACAGAAAACTTTTTTTTTTTTTTAATTTAGTAATATTTTACCATTATCAGCATGGCATATAAAAACTTACAAGACACATTTAAGCTCACTGGTCATTTTGGAAAGCAGATAAAATGGTGATATTTGTAGTGTTGACATAAGAACGTCTGGTTCCTAGTACTACAGTGGTGAACAATTCTGACTGTAAATTTATCTTCAAAGGCGCATTTCACACCGAACCACTCTGAATGATTTTGTTTACATCTAAACCATTAAATGATTAATTAATTTTGTTATATTGATGGAGTTCCTTTTTAAATGTAAGGGGACCATTTTTTGTTCACACTGGTGATAGAGGTGTTGCAAAGCTGCTCTTCTTGTCATACATTATGTTTTGTATGAGGATTTGAAATAATTACGTGTGGCAAATACGGCAAAACAGAGGAAAACAGAGAAAATAGTTTTTCACAACACTATGTGTTTCTGATTAAATGTCCAGTGAGTATGAGTATTTCCTGTGGTGTTTCCATTATTTGTTGCACATGATTCAATAATCTCTCTCTCTCTCTCTCTCTCTCTCTCTCTCTCTCTCTCTCTCGCTCTCGCTCTCTCACAGGTTTCCCGTATGAGAAGGTAGTGCAGCGGACTCTGTACCTGCAGGTGCTGGATTATGACCGTTTCAGCAGAAATGACCCGATAGGAGAGGTCTCCATCCCCTTAAACAAAATCGACCTGGCTCACATGCAGACCTTCTGGAAGGAGCTTAAGCCGTGCAGTGACGGCAGCGTGAGTAATGCTGTGTGTGAGTGAGAGAGATAGAGATAGAGAGAGAGAGAGAGAGAGAGAGAGAGAGAGAGAGTAATAAAAAGATAAATACTTTATCTTTTGTTATGAATATTATCTTATTGTTATAATGTTGTAAAACGTTGGTATAGATACGGGAACAGTGTTCAGGTAAAGGTGGGAGTAGGTCACCAAAACCAGCAAAACCCAGCACAGAAAGACAGCAGCAGTGAACGGCTATAATAGGCAAAAGAAAAATGGCTTGTAAAAGCAGCAAGAGTACGGCAGGACCGGGCTGACGGAGTTGAGGATAATTACTTAATTGTGCTTTGGCTCGAGGGGAGCGTGTGCCGCTTTTCATGCCTCATGTAATGGCATTCAAGCTGCGTGCTGTCACCAATCTCAGCCTTACACAACAGAACAAGAGGCTTACAAGTGAGCCATTAGCCTGTACAGCCGCACACTTCTCAGGTTAATATTCACCTGTGGTGCGCTGTAATGGGCCTCACACAGCGCAGCGAGGACTGAAGTGAAGGATTCTTTGCTCAGTAACTTGTGCTGATGGTTAGCATTAGCCTTCTCGTCAGTGCCAGAACATTTTGTTACATAACACGAATACAAATCAAGGACTCATTATGGCACGTCTAACTAGCTAAACTTAAGTGAGTTACAGTTTTACAGTGACTAAAAAGACCCTGTTCGTAGTACAATTAAAAGCACTTTGCACTAGAAGCACGAGTGAGTGGGGGGCAGCGCACAATTCCCAAACCCCGCAGAGGGACGCGAGTGATGGCGATCCCGAACTCGGATCGAGAACGAAGCCTCACGACCACCAGAGAGGGGACGACGACGATGGCTCCACTACACCTCACAGAGCGGAGTGGGGGGCAGAGCCCGGGTGGCAGCGTTCAGGACTTGCATCCCGCCTTTGTGCCAATCGTGGCTGTCATTGCCGTCGCCCCCTCTCTGGTGGCCGCAGGGCTTCATTCTTGCTCTGAGTTTGGGCCCCGTCTTCCTCCCGGCTTTTACGGCCATCATCAACTTCAGAAACGCTGAAAAACCAGTCACAACACAACGGAAATATTTCTGGAACACTCAAAAGGCTCAAAGTGGATGCAATATCTATGATTGAAAGATCACTGACAGAAGTAGAGAAGACCACAGACACTCAGACACTCACAGCCCAAGTACATGGTTAACCTGGCTGGCTAGTTTGCTATCTGACATGTCACAGCTGTGCTGTGCTGTGGTAGTTCTCTGGTGTAACTAGCTTAACTTTTACAGCTAATTCCCATTACAATACAGTAATAGTCATGATCTGCATGAATAAAACCTAACTTACTTTTACTGGTGAGTGTTTGTGCTGCATAATTATTTAAAAGTCTGAATGACTCCATCCTCTCTGAGCGTCCTTCGAAAACACCTCCGCTGTGTTGTGACTGGCTTATCAGCGTTCCTGAAGTTGTCTGTGTTTTCTGTATTTTCAGCACATTTGTGAAATGTAGCATCAGTGTCGTCATTTTGATGAAAGTGTTTTCTGAGTGTGCAGCTGTTTTTTTTTATTTGCAGTTTGTTGGGTCTTCTCCTCCACCACACAGTTTACTGATAGCACCAAAGAGAGTTCATAACAAAGCAAAACCCTTTTTGGTGCTATTTTAAACATTTTCAAAAAACTCTATATAGAACGATGTACAACCATTTGAACATGCAAAGGACCATTTTTCTCTGATGCGGCTCACAACACACCTGTACCAGGTATTTAGTGTTCTTAATGGCTTAAGCTCAGCCTACACTGCACGATTATTTGCCCAATTTGCCCCTTGTGACAAATTTTCAGAATCTCAAGCGATTTTCCAGGTCAGAAGCATGACTGGAAAAGATTGACGACGCGAAGGATCTGGTAGTATGAGAGGAGAAGCAAATCAATCTTTGGCCCTCTGATTGAACTCCGAAGTCATCAGAGACCCTCCAATATTATCCAATATGTTTGATATTTACGACTCAAAACATCCACGAGTCCTGTATTGTGAGAAGGTCAGAGATTTACTCAATGAGTGATTCAAACAACAGCCAATCAGAGAGCTAGAAGAGCGGAGAAACAGGCGAAGAGACGCGCCTGAACAGCAGAGCAGAGACAGAGGAGCTGAGTGTAAAACACAGGCAGATAAGAGCTGATATCAGGTCAAGTCACTCTCTTTACCATTTGCTGCCAGTTTGGAGTGAAATATTTCTCCATCTCTCTCTGTAATATCAGTATTTCTACGCATAAAAGCACAAACAGGTCCAGTAAGTTTAGGTTTGTTTGGCTACGTTCACATTACCAGGTTGAAGTGGCACAAATCAGATTTTTTGCCCTGATGTGACTCAGATCTGATGTTTTCAGGGCTGTGTGGACACGCAAATCTGATCCTTTTCAAATCCGACCTAAGTGACTTTCATATGTGGTCCTAGATCAGATACATATCCGATTCATGGCCAGGCGACCTCAATGTGACGCTCAGATCGGAATTCATGTGCTTTTTTTCCACTGCGTGTGCACCATCATTCAGCGTTACCATGACAGCAGCGGCAAACAGAGGTTAAAGCCTGTAAACGGTGGAAAAGCAACACATCTCACGTTTTTCTCCTTCGTCTCACTCTAATAATGAAACTGAGAGCTGATCAGAGTTAATTATCTTCTCAGCGAAGCTCGTTCTACTCGTTAGTTTGTGCTGATGATGCACGTGATTCATTCACGTGACGTTACTGAGTAGGATGTGCTCATGAGGGTCATTTCAGGATGCTGGTTTGTTCACATTAATGACAGATTTGAATCACTTATCTACACGAGTGTGAACCATCATGTCAGAGAGATCGGATTTGAGCAAAAAATCAGATTTGAGAAATGAGGCTTGTAATGTGAATGTGGCTTTTGTGTTGTGTGATCTGAGAGGATCTGGGAGTTGGAGTTCTTATTCATAGCACAAACTCATTAAGTGTGTTATTCTCTTTGCCCTGTCTTCTAGTGTGAGCACCCACAAAAATTCTGTGACAAACTGACATTAAGTTTGTGATGCTCTCCATTTTAGAAATCTGTTTCAAAGATTCCAATATTTTAAAAGTAATGGTTTGTACACCCAGCCTTAGTTTAGCATCTAGAGCTGCATTAGAGCAAAAATGTGGACCAGCTGAGGACTGGTTTAACAATCACAGGTCTACATGCTAATGACTATGAACTGTGGTACAAAACTGAGTTTTTTTAGTTGTGTTACGGGGGATGTATGCATGCAATATTGAAAATCTCATTCCAAATACCTAAAAATCTCCCTCCAGTCAGCACCCTAAAGCTGACGACACTGTTTTAAGCATCTTTGTGCCCGTCTGTGCTCTCATCCTGTTTCTTCTGGTGTGTTTGCAGGGGAGTCGAGGTGACCTGCTGGTGTCTCTGTGTTATAATCCCACGGCTAACATCATCACTGTGAACATCATAAAGGCACGCAATCTCAAAGCCATGGACATCGGCGGCACCTCAGGTACACCCAAAACCAGCAAAGTACCGTAAGCCTGAACTGATTAACTTAGACATGAGATGTGCGAAGCCTCTGAGCTTTGATGCAATGATCCAGTGAGGCAGCGTCTCTAAGCAAAAGACAGCTGAAACAGGGACAGCTGTAAGAACAGCTGTATTACAGGTGTTCCGGAACGTGAGCTGAGATCCTCAGCTTCTGATAATGTTTACGAGCTCCACACTTCATAATGCATTTATACGAAACAGAAGAACCCAAATATGAAACAGAGCTTCTCTAACTTTCACATCTAAACGTCTAAATGTGTTTGTTTCGGAGCCCAATAATGGTGAAGATAAAATGGTATGACAAAGTTTGTTCATACGACTGGTCAAATGTCATGCATTATTAATTTGAAAATAAGTTAACACATCCTCCCCACACATAAATTTGCTGAATTTACAGAATGGTTGTGCAGCTTAAATGGTTCCCATGTCATGCTAGATTGTTGCTAGGTGGTTGCTATGGTATCCCATGTGGTTGCTAAGGTGGTGCTAGGGAGTTGCTATGGTATCCCCTGTGGTTGCTAAATTGCTGCTAGACAGTTGCCATGGTGTTCTGGGGGTTTATTTAGTTGTTCATAGGGAATTGCCAAGTGTTAGATGCGTATTGTTAATTATGAATGGGAGTCTATGTGAATAAGGAGGGATGAAAAAACGACACATAGAGGAGTGTGGGTCAGTATGGCTGTGGATTAGAGCTTGAGGACCTGAGTAAGTACATGCATTGTGATGTCTGTTGGGCAAAGGAAAACAGGGCTGGGGTTTGGGTGAAAATGAATGGGACTCTATGGGAGGAACGAGGGTTGAAAAAATGACACATAGAGGAGTGCAGAATGGTATGGCTATGCAGTAGAGTTTGAGGTCCTACCCTTAGTGAGTACAAAGAGTTTGTGTGGTGGAGAAAATAAAAGGGGCTCTATGGGAAAAACAAGTGGTGGAAAAAATGGCAAACAGACAAGCGCGGGTCAGAACAACATTGAATTCTTGCTCAGGGGCCAGCCTTGAGATAGTATATGCGAAACGGTGTCTTTTGGGTGAGCAGAAGTACAGTAGATGGCTGTGCAATTTTTCACCCCATTCATTCCTATGGGAAAAAATTCGGAATTTAATGAAGATTGTACGAAAACTGTGTATTCAATCAAAAAGCTGTATACAAGCCTGAATCACACAATCAGACTGGACAATCGGAGTTTGAACGATGTTATTATGTCGTAAACTGCGGGATGAGTTACGCAGCAAAATCCGGCAGAACAATACCAATAAAAGAGACGAAGAATAATATAAAACAATTCAGTGCACAACCATAGTAAAACATAAAAAGTTATAGCATGTTATATTGTATATATGATATTATATTTTATATTGTTATATTTATAATGTTACATTTTATGTTTTCCAAATATGTTAAACTCAGCAAGTAAATAGAAATTGTGCACTAAAATTAGCAGAAAAATGCATATTTAAGTTTGTTCCCTATACAGGATGTGTTAACTTATTTTCACTTCAACAAAACATTTCTACTTAATGTGAGGCCATACACATAACCACCACCTATACCACCTCTTCATATTAATAACATTCCTCTCTCAGTGATGCCAAAATATAGGGGCCCATCATCCAGCACGATCTTCGGTGGAATTAGTGAGTAAACGCTACGGCGGAAAGCTCCAGCAGAAAGTTGTCTCTTCTTGGTTGTGCAAACTGATTTACCCATATATATTGCCGACATTAGAGCAGTGTTGTGGAATATGAAGTCCCTGCATGGCATGCTGGACTTACCCATTCCTTATCGACACAGTTTGAATGTGTAAAGAAGGGCATGCTGCATCATTTTTGGAGCATCTTATGTCAATTACTATGCCCTCAACACCCTGGGCATCCTCTCCCTTGAGAAAAGAACAGATTTGCCTTTTTCAGCCTGCCTTCCAGCCTCTAGAAAAGAAATATCAGGAAGGACTACATGCAACAGCCATTATCTTAATATTCCACTTGCAAGGACTGATCATTATTATACAGCACTGCTTCCAAAAAGAGTAGGAATGCTGTGCAAATTGTAAATGAAAACACAATGCAATGATGTGTAAATAATTTTAACCCTATATTTTATTGAAAATAGAACAAATACAGCATATCAAATGTTGAAACTGAGAAATTTTATTGTTTTTTTGAAAAATATATGGCCATTTTGAATTTAATGTCAGCACTACATTTCAAAAAAGTTTGGACAGGGGTATGTTTACCACTGTGTTTCATCGCCTCTTCTTTTAACAACACTCTGTAAGTGTTTGGGAACTGAGGAGACCAATCGCTGTAGTTTAGAAAGTGAAATGTTTTCCTGTTCTTGCTTGATACAGGATTTCATCTGCTCAACAATTCAGGATCTCCTTTGTGGTATTTTTTTTTCATAATGTGGCTAATGTTTGCAATAGGTGACATGTCTGGACTGCAGGCAGGCCAGTTTAACGCCTGGACTATTTCACTACAAAGCCATACTGTTGTAATACACAGAATGTGGTTTGGCACTGTCTTGCTGAAATAATCAAGGCCTTCCTTGAAAAAGACATTGTCTGGATGGCAGCAAATGCTGCTCCAAAACCTGTTTATATCATTTAGCATTAATGGTGCCCTTACAGATGTGCCAGTCACCCATGCTGGCTTTTGAACTCTGGCCTGATAACAATCCAGATGGTCTCCTTCCTCTTTCCATGACTCCCAAAAAAATGTAAAATTTCGTTTCGTCAGATCACTGGACACTTTTCCACCTTGCCTAAGTCCATCTAAAATGAGCTCAGGCCCAGAGAAGGTGGTGGTGTTTCTGGTTCCTGGTTATATATGGCTTCTTCTTTGCGTGGTAGAGTGTTTAACTTGCACTTGTGAACGCAGCAACAAACTGTTTTCACAGACAGTGTTTTGTAGAAGTGTTCCTGAGCCCATGCAGTGATTTCCACTATAGAATCCTGTGTGTTTTTGATGCAGTGCTGTCTGAGGAGCCCGAAGATTCTGGCCAGCCAGTATTGGTTTTCAGCCTTGTCCCTTGAATACAGAGATTCTGCCAGATTCTCTTTATCTTTTAATGATATTGTGTACCATAGATGATGAAATCCCCAAGGTCTTTGGTATTTTATGTTAAGAAATGTTATTCTTGAATTGCGCTATTTGCCCACGCAAACAGAGTGATGAACCCCTCCCCATCTTTACTTCTGAAAGATTCAGCCTCTCAGGGATCTTATATAAGATTTATTAATAAATATGCATTATAGTTAGATTTTTATATTTGCTAATTACATTTATTTGGAATTTGTTGTTAAAGTTGCATAGACATGTTTTGTTTAGGTGTGGTGTTCGTGATTTGTGACTGTTGACATTTTTTTTTAGATGTATAGGTGTACGGCAGTCTGTTTTTTTGATCCTTTTAAATTTTCTAAATTAGTGTGTGAATTTAATCTTTGACTGCTAAGCACTAATAATAATAAAACTGCTCAACTAACTACTAAACTTGGGTGTTCAAACTTTTGCATATGACTGTATGTAGAAATTGTGCTATGATGTTTCTAATGGTTCATTTCACATGTGAGAAAGTATTTTACTCTTAGAAGTGTACAGTTATTATTTGCTCTACTATTTAAATGTGACAATAAATGATGTAGTTACATCATGAATTCCGTTTAGAATCAGTTTTCATTCTATATTGAAAGAATGATACGTGGCAAAAATGCTTTGCTATTTCCACAAAACAATAAATTGGATTGAAAGTTTAGAATCTGCACTTTCCACACTCCCCGCTTGCTTCAGTGAGTTATGAGACAGACAAAATTCACATAAAGCCTTTATTCATTAAACACAGCATCTTCTAAGGGCTGAATCTTTTCAACCACAGAAACAAAAAAAAACGGTAAGTCTTACTAGTCGGATACTACTGCGGCGCACTGTATATTTCACTGGCTCACTGCACTGACTGTACTGTTAATGTGCTTTTCAGACCCTTATGTGAAAGTGTGGCTGATGCATAAAGACAAGCGTGTGGAGAAGAAGAAGACGGTGGTCATGAAGAGGTGCCTGAACCCCGTGTTTAACGAGTCCTTTCCCTTCGATGTCCCTGCTCACGTCCTCCGGGAAACCACCATCGTCATCACAGTCATGGACAAGGACAGACTGAGCCGTAATGATGTCATAGGCAAGGTACGGTGGAGAGGAGAACCAGCGCTGCAGCAATGCTTAAGAAGAATCCTGACAACCAGCAAAGAATTCTGTTTTCTCTCCAGCATCAATTATAAAAACAGTGTGGATTTTTATTATCGACACATTGGTTATCTTTTTATGTCTTGTTTGTTTTTAGTTATTAGATATAACAGTAACAGCATCAACAACAACAAAGCCAAACAAGTGCACTGTATATGAATATTTCAGTGAGCATGAACACCTTTACTCAGCCAATGAGCTGATCCGCAGACCATCCAATCAGCACTCAGTAGCAGTAATACTAACCAATCTGCACTGGTTAACAGTAATGCTAACCAATCAGCACTCAGTAGCAGTAATGCCAATCAATCAGCACTCAGTAGCAGTAATGCCAATCAATCAGCACTCAGTAGCAGTAATGCTAACCAATCAGCATTCAGTAGCAGTAATGCTAACCAATCAGCATTCAGTAGCAGTAATGCCAATTAATCAGCACTCAGTAGCAGTAATGTTAACCAATCAGCACTGAGTAGCAGTAATGCTAACTAATCAGCACTCAGTAGCAGTAATGCCAACGAATCACCATTCAGCGCTCAGCGCTCATTCAGATAAAGTTGGAGTCATACTATGTAGACCACTGATCAAAGAAATGATTGCTGAAATTTTGAATTACGATATTTTCTCTTTTCCTTCTTCCACTTTTCTCTCCCTCTCTCTCTCTCTGTCTTTAGATCTATCTCTCATGGAAGAGTGGCCCGGCGGAGGTAAAACACTGGAAGGATATGATTGGCCATCCTCGCACTGCTGTCGCCCAATGGCACGCCCTCAAAGCTTAAAGGCCCCGCCCCCCAGTTCCACCCTCAAGAGGAGAAACCACACCTTCAGACCCCTGTTTATATGCACAAGATTGAACACGGGTACCAAAAGCCATCCAACACTTTCTCTCTCTTTCTCTCTCTTTCTCTATAAGCTCCACAGAGGGGCTACGGAGGTCCCCGTTTCGTTTTCCTTTGCCCACTTTTATCTTCCTGCTCCCAGGCCCTACTTTTCTTCTTTTCACCAAAAAGAGGCTGAGCACTGCCAAGAAGATTTTCAAAAGATCCTGTGTTGTTCAGAGGAAAACAGGCTTGTCTTCCTTGAGATTAATCTCGACTGCTCAACTGTTCCAGGAACAGTTTGACAACCAAACAGGGTGACTGCCACTATATCAAACTTCCAACATGAAAGAAAAAAAATCCCCCTCACCCAAAAAACACAACTGCCCCTCTACTGCCATGTTTCATGTTTTTGTATTTTTTTCACTTTTTGCCCTTTTCCTTCTCAAAAACCTTCAGAGAAGATCCAGAAGGATCAGTTCGCAGTGCAATACGTGATGGAGGGAGAGACAAACTTCTTATCGTAAACTTTTTTCGTCATCTCTCGCTGTTTTTTTCCTGGCACAAAGTGTAGAAACCCCTCTTTGCTGGAACGTTGTCTGTATGTACCGTGGGTGCCGTGATGTGATGAAAAACAAAAAAAAAGTTATTGTTCCAAAAAAAAGAAGAAAAAAGACTCACCTTATCTGACTGGATCAGTTTAACGGTTTAGGAAGAAGGACGAGAGAAAAGATGCTAAACATTCCAATAATTGTGTAAAAATAACATGACCCGGCAGGATTGTCATTATTGTTATTGTTCACTGTTTTTTTTTTTTCAAGTCAAACTAAGATGGCCAGTCAAAACGTTCCTCCAGAGCGGAGAGGGTGAATAGACCATTGAAGTCATGAGTCATTCTGAAGTCGCCGTCACTAATCACGTAACCCAAACGCGACACCGGATAGCTTCCACAAGTGCAGCAGTCCAAACCAGTGTTCACTGGAAGCAAATCCCAGACCACCGATTTCAGGAAGACCAGAGATCTGTTCTCTGGACTGCTCCTGGGTTCCAAAACAGCTTTCACGCTTGATTAAATGTACTGAACTCACAAAGCAAGCAGGCCTGGGTCTAGACAATGGGTGTGACAATATAGTGGGTCTAAAAAATCGGTGCTATCAACCTCTGCAGTAAACAAAGTGTTCCAAACCTGATTTCCAGATCATTAAGCAGTCAAAGTCCGAATACTGCCATGTATATGCAACAAGCAAGCTAACACTGCACACTGAAATGAAATGTTGTATGAAAGTAAGTCTTCTATTAAACTTCAACACTATTCTATACCGGCACTAGCTACTCAAAGTGCAGCCCAAGGCATCATCCAAACATATTAGGATATTTTTAAAAACATTGATTTTCTCTCCATTTTCAAAAAACCTTTGTCCACACCAGTAGCGTTTTTATTTTGTCCATCCACACAAGAACACAAAAATGACTTGAAAATGATCACATGAGCATGCTAGCCTAGTAGGGGGCAATAATACCCTATAAAACTTGATGTCATACACCTCAAGAAGAATATTGTAAGCATACTGTGCAAAACATGGAGTGCACTGCTGAGCTAAAGCAGAGATTTTCTAACAAAGTGATGGTGTCGTTACAAATGCTCTAAACAGACCTCACTAATTTAATATTTCACACACATCCAAAGTCCAATTTCTACCAGAAAATAAAAGCTTTAAAAGCGAAAGAAAACCTACGAGTTGCCAAGGGATTGGTAATGTTGCCATATGCTGCGCCGCCATTTCTGAAACATCCATACATCTTAGATCTGTAGAAATCACCAACACACTCAAAAGTGAACACTAGCTCACTTTTAATAAACTAAAAATCCTGAAAGTTTGACCGAGGTAAAGGCAGATAGTGTAATGGTTAGTAAACAGTGATTGGAGAAGAAAATGAAGTGGACATTGAGGAAAGGATTATCATTGGCTGGAACATAGTGACAGATTAGTCCATTTTTTACTGTGTTGGTGGGAGTAAAATTCCCACCCCAAGTCAAACAGCGGTTTAGATTTTCTCATAATTGCTCACCGAGGCCCCCTAGTGGCTCAGGCCCCTAGGCACGTGCCCATAGAACCCACTGGATGATCTGGGCCTGGTAGTACATTCGGATGCCTTCGCACTGTGGTTTTCTGAAAAAATAAAGCCAAATTCAATTATAAGCATGATTATAACTCCCAAATCACAATGAACACAAAACAACCCAGTCATATTTCAGTTCTGCTCACTCACTTAATCAAAGCACCTATAGGCTAGTTAAGCTTTGTTTTGCTCAGTAACATGAAAACACTGAAAAACAGAGTTTTCAAAGATCTTCACCCTGGATTTTCAAAAATACTGTTTTTGTGTGGATGGGAGAAAAAACTATTTTCAAACATCCAGAAATGTGTGGACAGGGCCTTAAACCACTAAAGCCTCTTAACTATCACACTGGACAAAGCTTGCTGGTTTGTGTGGCATGTTTTGGTGAGGTCAGTCTTATGATATCAAGTCAGTGCACAACACTGAGTACGTTTACATGCCCTTAATAACCCGAAAACTGCAGAAAATCAGATTTTGTCAGTGATCTGATCAACGCGTTTACATGCATTTGAGTAAACAGACAATGTAAACTCCAGGTCTACATGAATCAGACAGTAATTGGATTTCTGCTTTGCAACCAGCCAATAAACTCACAGAAGATGATGTGAAGTAAACATATCGTAAAACTCAAACTTCATGACACAGCTTTTTTAAAACGCCACTCTACCTGAAAATATGAACATACATCATCTAGAAGATGAAGAATATTTAATCCTTCATTTCGTCAAGCATGTATTTGGTTTTTATTTTGGTTTTAGCGTCGCTCCAAAAGTGTTTTGCTGCGTCTCGTGGCAACACTGCTTGTTTATTTCCAGTACCGTGGTCTGTTTTACACATGCGCAGACTGAAAAATCCGAAAGAAATCTGAGTAAGAGTTTAAAAATCTGAAACTAAGCTAAAATCCAGCTCCCTTTATCGGATTTCTTAATCCTTAAAACTTTACTCCGATCCAGGAATCAGAGTGTGCTGTTGACATGACCATTTGAATAATCAGATAACTGCAAAAATCCAATTATGATCAAATTTTTGAGTGCATGTAAATGCACTCATTGTTAGCTTGCATGTAGCAATATTCATATTTTGGCTTCTTAACAACCTCATAATTCAGAGAATCCAGCTAAATTTGGAGGAAAAATGTCAGTACAGCAAAATGTATCGGCTTTAGAATGCTTTTGTTACCACAGATAACAGAGAGCAGAGTTTTGAAATTGCCACTAATTTTCCCCATAGAGAAAATCTGCTTAGACCTAGAGCTCCTTATATGGGCACGATGCAGACTACAGAGTGATGCACGACTTCAGAAGTCTGTTGGCGGGTGTCAAATGTGTGTGTGTGTGTGTGTGTGTGTGCAATAGGGCTGTGCAGAATGTACTAATTGTGATTATACTGCTGCATATTGCAGTTGTGATATACCATACACAATAGCAATATGTTCAGTGTTAAGTGGAGCATGGATTTTGATCAAAATAACTTTTGCTAAATTAAATGAATTTTGTTAGATTATATGGTCAGAGTGTTTAAAACGAGGCCTTCTCCTCCACCATATCAATAAGGGTGTAACAATACACATACATTTTTTTAGGTTTCATGCGGTTCAATATGATAAAACAGTGCAACTCAGAAAAAAACGAACTGCCTCATTTAAACCATTATATAGTCTGCATATCCACATCAACCTGTTCTAAAAGCTTAATTTAGGCATGTGCACTAAGCATTAATCTTACATATAACTTAATATTTCTATTTTTCTTTCTGTCCGCATATTTGCGTATTTTGACATAATAAACAAAAAAGGATTTGATGGAAACAGTATATATCAGAATCATATACATAAAAGTTTGCTCTCTGGAGGTGGAGTATTTATTGCAGATAAAGAGAAATGCCACAAATTACTAACGAAACTCATTTGCTGAATAAGTAATGTAAATATGACCGAACAGGTGTTTCTGTTTTTGTGGCCATATCTTTGTTGTATCAAAGAAAAAACATGACACTGATATTTGAGACTAAACAGACAGAAGGTGTTGCGGCTGATTAATAAACATGAGCTCTTTCAATGTAAGACAATAGAATAAGCTGCCCAACTTTAAAGATTTCCCAATTAAGTCTCTTGAGCAAAGCTGAGGAACTTTCAGCCAAATTCACATCACCTTTTGCCACATTTCAGGGAGTTTAACTGCTGGAAGGAAACTTGGCTACTGTTTCTAACATTCTTCTCTTCAGTGAAATCATTACACTCTCAGATATCAACATTGGAAAAGCCGATATCATGATAAAGATTAACGTGCGATTGTTTGTGTAGCCCTATTGCGCATTACTGAATTCATCACGACAGTAGAAATACACTGTGCTGTGCGTTTGTCCTAGAAATTTGCATCATTCTCTTAACTGGAACACAGCGACACTGCCAGTGGGAAGCCAGCCTCTGCCTGAACACTTTCCATTTACTTTCAAAAGAGCCAAAGTAGTTCACAAAGTCTTTCAGAGAATAGTGTACCTGCTGAGAACAGTACGGAATCAGAAAGTAGAAGAAAAGACATGGAAAATGTCATGAGTAAGTCGTGTTTTTGTGTGTGAATGTTCACGTGTGTCCTCGTGTTCACGTCTGAATGCCTTACAGTGTACACTGGGTGTGTGTGAATGTGAATGTGAATGTGTTGGGGAGTCAAATGTGTGGTCAATAAGTTTCATATTTCTGTAACAGGGAGAGATTTTAGGGTGAAACTTAGAAGTGGAACTAAGCAGTCTCAAATCATGACACAATTATAGATGACATGAGGATCACTTTGTCCATAATATCTTCTGCTTCTCTTTGAGGCAGCATTCTGAACTCTGTGCACGACTGTGTGGATGAAGTATTCTTGTTTTCCTGTGTTTTTTGTTGCCCATTAGGCCAAATTTTAAGGCCATTAAAGGTATACATGAGTGTTTTTCAGACTAGTTTTTGTGTGCCACATCTGTATCCTACTAGCAGTTACCACAGAAAATCATTTCAGTGCATCTCCCTGTAACAAAAACCCTGTTGACTCAAAACTCACTAGTAACAGAAGCCAATGGGCAGTTGCTACATGTTGTATGAAGTACATTACAATATGGCAAGAGTTAAAAGCTGCACTGTGTAAGTTTTGGGGATTTGGACCTCTCTGGTGGAAATGTGTAATTGCATGCAATGTGCAGAAAAAATAATCTGAGAAATGAAAGACAATTCAAAGAGAACTCAGTCTAAACTTGTTGAAGGAGGCATCTTCCGGGGATGTGAGTGAATTTTCAACTATTGTCATCACATCTTAATTAGTATAATGTTGATTTTGAGATCATTTGGGACCTAAACATCAAGCCGGACCTTCTTTTTGAGCCTGTGCATGTGATGGCAATGTGTGGTGTGAAAAACCCCAACCCAACACTCCTGACTTTTACATGATTATTTCAGGCTTTTAACTTTGGTAAACTCACAGATTTGCATCATC